CAACATCCACAAGTCAATTCTGAAGATATACGACTTCTGTTGCAACACAATGCCATTTCCTCTCACAAATCCAGCTGAAGGAAGTGACAAGCGACCCCAAAGTCTTTTAAAAAACCTCAGCCACTGAATTAAACATTAGCATATTATGTCATATTTTGTGAAGGGTAAAACGGAGAGCTGTCTGAGCTTACAAGGCAAAAGTCGCACACATTCAGAGCCCCAGCAAAACACAAGCTGAGTGTGCAATGAATGAGACGCACGCTTTGATGACTAAGTTTGGCAATCACTACCTGCTAGTCCTCTCCTTATATGGAGCCTGAGAAGTTGGAGTTAAAGCTAAGCTCCGCCCACCGGCCCTCTACTAGCAATTGTTTGCTGTCTTACAGTTTAAGGAGGGGACAAGCATGAGAACGATGTTTGGGAGAGGCAGATTAAGAGTAAGAGAGATTCTGAAAGGGAATGATAGTATATCTGAGCTTAATGTATTGTGTTAAGCGTAAGTGTGTGAAAGTGCAATGTGAGCGAGTGCTGTTGAAAAAACGGAGAGATGAAATCAGCTATGTGAAGTTGAGACATCATCAGTCATCATTGCCCTGCCAAGGCTGACTATATATGGATATGACCTCGCTGTCATTATTTCAAACCACTTCCTACTTACTCATTGTGAGGCAGATTGTAGGCAAACCTTCATTTCTTTTTTTCACTAAAAGAAGGAACGGGGAACACTCTAAAAAAAAAGAAAAAAAGAAATCCAACCGTAACTCAAAAGTAAATAAACGAATATCAGGAGCTTATCTGTCTATTGTGACGGTTGGATTTACATAAGATATTAAAATATGCAAGCATGTGAGAATGAAAGAGATTGTTTTATCATTTTTAAGTAAAAAATCTTTCTTTAATCAAAACTCCCCAGCATCTTTGACCAGGCGCTGCTTCATTCATTAGGCCAAGAAGTTTCAATCTGATTTCCATGAGAAAGCCCCATGTGACAAGGGCCTTAAATTCTTGACATTGTTACCATGTGACACACTTAAAGATTTCCTTTTATGGCGGTTGCTGTTACATCGACCAGAGGGCGAGGCCTATCACAGCCAAAGTGCACAAACGCTCTACAGCAAAAGCCCTTGAGGAAATAAATATGAAGAATCCTTTTGCGGACAAAGTTAGAAGGGAAAAATAAAGCACACGCCGAGCAGGGTTTCTTATTGTATCTTATCTCTCTGCATCTAAATTCTTAACATACCTGGTGATGTCATGGGTTTCTGTCATATTTAAATGACATACATACTTTCACAGGCCTGAATGTGTATACAGATATTTTACTTTTAGAAACATGCTTTTCATACTTATTTACATGTAATTGACGTTATATTACACTAGTTACATATACATTAGTGTACATATCTCATACATTTATAAAAGCTAATTTTTCCGCTGGGCATTATTCAGAGCTCCGCGCCACACCTGTGCCGAAAAAGCTCCCAAATTGTTCTACAAGACTGGACTTGTCTATTGCTTCTCATTCACAATCAGTGCCTCTGGAGTCACTAGACTAGAGCAAAAGACTTGTAAGAATTGTGGCAAAGGTTTACTAACAGAACAGTCATAACAAACCCTTCAGTATAAGGTTATGTTAATGTTAAGTTCAGCTAAGTCACAAAATAAAGTGATTGTTTTTGTTGTTTTAGCATTACATTAATTACTGATCAAATTAGTTGACTGAACAAATAAATGAAATGCCTTCTGGTGGAATGAGTTATTTTGATAAAATAATCATACAATTAGACGATGGCCAGATTCAGCTAAATGTAATTAGGTGGGCCGCAGTTTACAAAGTCATCAAAAAACAGTTTGTGTGCTGTAATTTTGTTTTTTACACATGAGTATGAGAGTGATTCTTGCATTGCACGGCATGATGAGAAACCGTAAGCACATACTACAGATGTACATTCCAGAGTGAAGCTTTCTCCACACCAACATAGTTGAATGTGATTTCCTGTGCAAACTTGCAAAAGAAATGACATCCCTTAAAAAAATCACTTCCTGTAAGACATGCGTAGATCATTTCCTTATTTGGCAACTAACAATGGCCTTTAGTTTTCAGGCTGTGGAATTTGAGTCTTTTAAGGAAGGAGCTATGCTTTAATGGACATATTTTCTTGACTGGGTCGAATCTAGATCTTTTTAAAGTAAAAAAAAATCTGCGTTAGGGAGAATGACAATTGTTTAGTTAATTATTAGGTCAGTGCTCAGCTGTTGGTTAGACTGACAGAGGTATTCAATCTCAGTAGGGAGTTGGCGTATGTTTTGTGCACAGATGAGATGAGATAGATCACTGCCAATGTTAATGTTGGACTTGAGACAAAACTGTTAGTCTTGCCATGATGTTGTGAGTGCCACGCCTCATCAGTTTCACACAGGCATCACTCAGGAATGGCAGATCGTTCATGCACAAGTGACATTCATTGAAACTCTTAAGAATAAACGGTCTAATGAATAGGGTAATTACAAAATAACAGCAAGTTTTCATAACAATATTTAGCAATAGGTTCTGGTGGAGCCAGCGTGACTGGCATGATTAGCGAAGGCTAGTCTGGCTATTTTTAAAAACATCTTCTGAAGACAAAGTGGAGCTAACTTTCTTGTGCTAAATTTGCTGAAGTTATGCTACAGTAATCTGTTTTGCTGCCCGGGCGCTGTTGTGCTGTTCTAAGTAATCTCAAGTCAAGTCACCTTCATTTATACACCGCTTTTTACAATACACATTGTTTTAGTGCAGCTTTACAGTGATAAGAGGAAATTAATGCAACACATGTTGTTTTGGCTGTACAGCAGCTCTATAAGAAATTCATTGTCCTGCTTAAGTGAGTTTTTGATTGATTCATTTCTGTTGCTAACTTGCCCAATTCAACAGAGCCCATCATAATATCTCTACGAAATTTGCATGCATGATACCATCATGCAATTTCCATAAAATAAACTGTGCAGGACCAATTATTAGCTAAAGTTTAATAATTAGGCTTAAGGGGACAATGAGCAATAGTAGGGGCACATGCTATTCAGGGTATAAAATGATGATTTGCAACTGATGAAAGCAAATGTCCTGAGAGGATCATTTCCATTTTGCTTTAAGAAGTGAATGTTTGACCAAAGGTCATGAATGTCAAAACTGCTCTCAGATGTATAAAATTCTCTTAGAGTGCAGGATCTCTTTCCTGCTGACATTACTCAACTTCCTGTGGCAGGCTTAAGCTATGCTGCTTGCTTGGCACAGTAATCTCTCCCATGCTGGTTTAAAGGCTGACAAAGTCTGGAGTGTGGACGGGCACGTCTGACTCATTCCAGGGCCAATCCCTGCTCAGCCCTCCTCTTGCGAGCAGACAGATGGTGGAGGGTAGATTAGCAGGCTTGGGGTCTAAGTAGAAAAACAGATATTGCTAGAAACTGACCCATACTGTAGGCCCATCTCACGTCCCCCTCTAGCTCTGGGGAAATCCCAGTGCATTTGGAGGAGAAAATTGCAGGCCACATGCACAGTGTCCCAAAGTAGCCACTATTCATGAATGAATCCTGCATTCCAGTATGTTAAATGATCATAAGCATGCATTGAGAATGCATGGACTTAAAATGGTAAATATGGTTGTAATGCAATATCTGATGCAGCATGCATATATTCTATATAAGTTATTTATATCTCACAGTCACAGCAGTAGTCACAGTGGGGTGCTAATAAGCCACTGATCTCCATTGATCAGTCAGCACTGGAGTGAGGAGAATTTTCTTAGTACGCATTCTAGTACAAGAAGGGGCCAAAACATAGGCGGTATTAATGGGAGAGTTCGTCCAAAAAATGTAATTCTCATGTTAAACTTGTATGACCTTTTCTTTCCGCTGTGGAACACAAAAGAGGGTATTTTGAAGAAGATGTTTTTGTCTAAATGTTTTTAAAGAACCGTTTTTGACCATATAATGACTGTTTCGAAATGTATGGACCAAATCATTCAACAGTTGAAACATTATTTTTTAATGTTCCAAAAAATAAAGGCACGCGGGATTGAAACAGCATTAGGGTCAGTGTGCATAATGACAAAGTTTTCATTTTTGCTGAACTATTCCTGCTTTAAATTATGACAATGAAATATACACAAAGCTATATGTTGACAAATGTGTGCAAATAGCCATAAATGGAAACTCTCAACCAGTTATTACAGCAAAGTGGAAATGAAAATGTGGTATGGCGATAGAGAACAGTCTCAACTATTATGCTGAGGAACACAAAAATGAGGAACAGGATTTTATTTTCTTGGTCAGTATCAAATCCTGTTGCAAGTGGTTGGACAGCATAAACAAATATATAAAACATTCACTGTCTGCTTTAGTCACTTTGGTTGAATGTAAAACCACCATAAATGTATCTCAAATCAAGCTTTCCCACATAATACTTGAGTCGGAGCAAATAAGGAAACAGATGAGTGCATATGAATCCATTTGGACCATAAAAAGGGGGATAATCCAATTTAAGAGGCCAGCTGGCAGTTTAAATGTGACTTCCTTTCTAGCTTGAGTATTTGACTTTACTTGCACACCATCAAGAAACCAAATATAAGTGAATCTAAAATCAATCAGTGGCAAATGGTGGCCTTCTGCTCAGCTTAAAAGCTTGTTTCAAGATCAAAGTGTTTCTGTTCAACACTTAAAAGCAATGGAAAAAAAAAACAGGCTAGTTTGGTGATTTGAATTGTTAAACTGAGTTTCATGCCAGACAGCAAACTACTAAATGCAACAGATTTCACAAAAACAACACGCCCAGAAAGTGGTCCTTTGAGAAGAACTTCATGAATATATTTCTTATCATCATGGAGAGCTTTGGTATCAGAGGTTAGATAAGAACGTATGAACTAAAGAAAAATGACATTATCATGGTGACAGCCCACAACATTTTTTTATTGCTTTGGATATCTTATGTCATAGGGCAAAGCTGAGGATCATTAGGACAGTACCTTATTTAGAGATGAATGGGAGCACTGAAATGGGGGAAGGCCGGCTGCTATCAGGGAAGGGTGGTGGTCCTCAGGGGGACTATGGACTAACAAAAGCACATCTGCTGTAACAGGACCCCAGTCCAACCTACAAAAGTTGGGCTACAAAGAGAAGCATGCTTGTTCAAAGTTAAAAAAAACAACTGCCAGCATTGTAAGATTTATATCACATCACATTAACCATAGTTTGATGCTTAGTTTCTATTTGCCAATGGTGTGTTTATAAGGGGGTTTGGATGTTTGGCATTAAGAAATGTTGGGGGATGGGAAGAAGAGACCTGACAATCCTTATTGATGTCCTGTTTGTAGATAAATCTTTCTTACTTTTATGCTTATAACCAATTCATTAAATCTCTTAATGCCATGCATGTCTATATTGCTGATGCTAGAACTATATTACAAAAATAGTTATATTTGTTGTACATTCATAAGCCATAATCTATACTCAATTTATCACACACTAATCTCAACAAAAAATCACAATGAGTTACTCAAAAAACAAAGTAACTCATTGTTTTTTGTTGTGTTTTTTTTTTAACAAAAAAAAGCATTTTTTTTTGTCAAATGTGCTGTTAATGTTTTCAGACAAAATAAATTTAAGTCACAAAACCACACTGCCCTTGGTATCAGCAAGAGATTTTGACATCAGCTGTTTTTGTTTATAGCTGCCATCGAAGGCCATGTGCATTACTCCCAAGTTACACATTAAAAAGTCACACATAGCTTGCCAACATCACCTCTGCTCAAGCACAGCCTTATCTATTATTCAAACTGTGACAACATCTGAAATAAGCAAGACATATTTTGTTATAAGCTGATCATGAATATCTTTACCGTTTTTTAAACAACGGAAACAATGTTCTGAAGAACTATCATTATTATAAATCTATCCAAAACAAAAAGTCTAAGTTCATTTGTCTGTATGATGATACATAGAGAGTGTGTACTATATTTTTGAATGAGAAACCAGACTTGATATGAAACATCTACAAGACAACATTTAATTGGTCAAGACCAAGTCTTGAATGCTGACATTTGACCTCATGTCAAATATAAACCTGGGCTAGGCCCACTTACAGCCATCAACTACTAATACCTTATCATCATAAGCATGTAACATGCACACACCTATGCATGTAAAAATTGTACTCCTGTAAAACAGGGAGTTTTGCATAGGCAACTCTAATTACAGGAATGCAAAGCCTCATTCAGTCTAAGTTTCATTACAATTTTGACAACATTACTTAATGAGCTCAGACCAGTTAGTTGCTCCAACAGGAAGCAACAGTCTTGTCACCTGGTTATCGCATTTCAATGAAAAATACCCCTATTTTGAATAAAGAAGTACTTGGTAGATTCCCACACATAAGTATGGTATTATTGTGAATACAATAAGAAGTAAATGACCCACAGAGCTGCTGTTAGATTGAAAATACAGCACAGGACCATGTCACTGTCCACCACTATGTGTTAACCAATACTAGCACTTGTACCGTTGCACAGACTTTTTGGTTTGAAGAGAGTCTTATCGTCGCTTTCACAACAAAATACAAATACACATGGCTATTATAATTCGCAAATAAAAGGATACTTTTTTGATCAAAATTGCCTAGGCCTTATACCTCAACTAGTCTAGCTTCCCCTTCTTTCACTCTCAAGTTGCAAGAAAGCAAGTGTAGCAATGTGCACGCGACAGCCGGGTGTGTGACGCTGGGCCAATCATAGAGCTGAGCTCCGAAAGTTTACCTTTTATGGCTAGAGCCGGGCATGTGCTGACGTATAAAAGAGCGCGCCCAGCTTTTCTTCCTCACTTTGAGCTCCTCCACACGCAGCTAGTGCGGAATATCATCAGCTTGTAACCAATTCTCTTAAGTCGACAAACCCCCCCCAAACCTAAGGTGAGTTAATTTTTCAGCTTTCAAAGGCTTTTAATTGTATTTTTAATATCCATTAATTTTAATTTAAATGTTTAATTAAAATGAATAAATAAAACTGGATAAAGTCATTAGACCAAGTTACCGGTGTTTTTGCTTTTAAATTCTAACGCCTGCATAAAAAGCTATTTATTCTTTATTATGTGGTTAATTTTATATAAGTGATTGCTGTATTATTACAACTTAAATGTGCTCGACATGTCAGTAGGAAGTGACGGTAACGTTAACCGTTGTAGACACGACATTGAATGGGCCGGTGTGAATTAACTTAAGCCTTTAAGTTAACTTGCGTCTCTCAACATTTAAGATGTGCTCTGGTTAACCGTGCTTTAACATGGCTTTACAGTTTTAAGGCTATTCGTGAGGCATGTTGCACACTTGATGGATAGCCGGCATGGGAAGTTCTTTGTGCAGCAGGCTGTGCTGCAGCAGGGTGTGACCTACTTTAGCTAGCCGGCTAACCAGCATTCACCTACTGTGAATCTGACATTTTACTTAAAAGTTATTCGATCTCCAAATAATCAAAGACTAATTATTACTACGCTTTCATCACAATCCAACCGTTTTGGGACAATATTGGCGCTTTAAATCGTTGTCTGCAGACCTTCAGTCCTTCATTAAGCCTGAAGATTGGTGAAGCACTTCATATTCACGTTTCGAAATATAAGGTGTGGTCAATTTTAACAGTTGGTGTAAATTTGTTCTGGTTGCAATAAGTTTTGTAATTGTCGAATTGTAACTTCATTTAAATCTCATTGATGTAAGACTAGAGTATAAACGGAATCGGCTGGTGCTTTGGTGTGAAGTCTGCTCTTATGTAGTCATTGAACTGACTGCAGATCTGTGACGCAGTAATATTGGGCAGACACAGTCGTCGAAATTCGCTTGTGTAATTGATACCAGGCAAGAATGGAAGAGGATGTAAAACTTAATTCGTGTAGAGTTTAGGGAGTGGCCCTGGCGTGATGAATTTCGAAATCTGTTCCTTTTTACTGAACTCTGACTCTGGCTGAGCGCCACACCGCCGGCAGCCGCAAAGCGGCTCAATCCATTGCCTTTTATGGTAATAACGAGAGAATGCAGAGGGACTTCCTTTGTCTGGCATATCTGAGGCGTGTATTGTCACTCTAGCACCCTCTAGCGGTCAGACGGTAGAATGCAGCACGAAACAGGAAGTTGACTCCACATGGTCACATGCTCACTGACACTTTCTTTCATGGCACTTCTAAAGCGATTTCTCTCTCTTTTACAGTTTAGCCATGGATGATGAAATTGCCGCACTGGTTGTTGACAACGGATCCGGTATGTGCAAAGCCGGATTCGCTGGAGATGATGCTCCCCGCGCTGTCTTCCCATCCATCGTGGGTCGCCCCAGACATCAGGTGAGAAGCAAAGGATAAATCGATTTGGACTGACCTGTAATAGGAATTATTTTTATACTTTAAAACGTGAATTAACTTCTTGTTCCTAAATATTTTACAAAAATTAACGTTGCTTGCTTTGTTACAGGGTGTCATGGTTGGCATGGGACAGAAGGACAGCTATGTTGGTGACGAGGCTCAGAGCAAGAGAGGTATCCTGACTCTGAAGTACCCCATTGAGCACGGTATTGTCACCAACTGGGATGATATGGAGAAGATCTGGCATCACACCTTCTACAATGAGCTGCGTGTTGCCCCAGAGGAGCACCCCGTCCTGCTCACAGAGGCCCCCCTGAACCCCAAGGCTAACAGGGAAAAGATGACTCAGGTTGGTTTTTGGCTAGCAAACATTGAAGTCTCTTGTCTGTCCTGTTATTTAAGTTCTCCTTTTCATTCATTCACTTCCTCCAGGCTCTGTACTTTCCTCTGAGCTCCTGAGTTTCTCATCTTTTGCTGGAAGCAGCAGGTTATCTATACTTTTGCCTGCCTGTTTTGCAGTCTCATGCACTCTCTTATTCTTTGTGCACTTTTGTTTCTTTGCTCTGGATTTCCAACTAACCTCTGCATGGATGTGTGGATTGTGCTGTAAATATTTGAGCATCAATTAACTTATCCCTTCTCTCTTTCCAGATCATGTTCGAGACCTTCAACACCCCTGCCATGTACGTTGCCATCCAGGCTGTTTTGTCCCTGTACGCCTCTGGTCGTACCACTGGTATCGTGATGGACTCTGGTGATGGTGTCACCCACACTGTGCCCATCTACGAGGGTTACGCCCTGCCCCATGCCATCCTCCGTCTGGACTTGGCTGGCCGTGACCTGACTGACTACCTCATGAAGATCCTGACCGAGAGAGGTTACAGCTTCACCACCACAGCTGAGAGGGAAATTGTCCGTGACATCAAGGAGAAGCTCTGCTATGTGGCTCTTGACTTTGAGCAGGAGATGGGCACCGCTGCTTCCTCCTCCTCCCTGGAGAAGAGCTATGAGCTGCCTGACGGACAGGTCATCACCATTGGCAATGAGAGGTTCAGGTGCCCAGAGGCCCTGTTCCAGCCATCCTTCTTGGGTAGGTTTCCTGACAAACATTACCTGGTGTGTGTATGTACACTAGACTTCATTTGAAGGAGAGTACAAGGGCACCATTTAATAATTTGTCTTCCTCTGCAGGTATGGAGTCTTGCGGTATCCATGAGACCACCTTCAACTCCATCATGAAGTGTGACGTCGACATCCGTAAGGACCTGTATGCCAACACTGTATTGTCTGGTGGTACCACCATGTACCCTGGCATTGCTGACAGGATGCAGAAGGAGATCACATCCCTGGCCCCTAGCACAATGAAAATCAAGGTGAGCTTTGACCCTTGCCTCTCGTATCAGTCTGTAACTGAACACGTGTGGCAACTCTGCATCGTGCTAATTGTCTGTTTCTCCTCAGATCATTGCCCCACCTGAGCGTAAATACTCCGTCTGGATCGGAGGTTCCATCCTGGCCTCCCTGTCCACCTTCCAGCAGATGTGGATTAGCAAGCAGGAGTATGACGAGTCTGGACCATCCATTGTCCACCGCAAATGCTTCTAAACGGACTGTTACCACTTCACGCCGACTCAAAATGCGCAGAGAAAAACTTCAGACGACAACATTGGCATGGCTTTTGTTATTTTTGGCGCTTGACTCAGGATCTAAAAACTGGAACGGTGAAGGTGACGGCAAGTTTTTTTGGCAAATAAGCATCCCCGAAGTTCTACAATGCATCTGAGGACTCAATGGTTTTGTTTTGTTTCTTTAGTCATTCCAAATGTTTGTTAAATGCATTGTTCCGAAACTTATTTGCCTCTATGAAGGCTGCCCAGTAATTGGGAGCATACGTAACATTGTAGTATTGTATGTAAATTATGTAACAAAACAATGTCTGGGTTTTTGTACTTTCAGCCTTAAAATCTTGGGTTATTTTTTTTTTCTTTGTTCCAAAAAAACTAAGCTTTACCATTCAAGATGTAAAGGTTTCCATTCCCCCTGGGCATATTGTAAAAGCTGTGTGGAACGTGGCGGTGCCAGACACTTGGTGGGGCCAACCTGTACACTGACTAATTCAATTCCAATAAAAGTGCACATGTTTAAGACATCCTATTCCTGTGTGACTTCCTGTGTTGGTGCTGAATTCACTTTCTCAAGTATCTTGGTAGACTCTAATAATACTAGTCTCGCTCTTCTTTATCTTGTATCCCTTTTATAAATTGGGACTATTCTCTAACAACATTCAGGTCTAGAGAACTTTAATGAAAGTTAAGGTTGTCATGACCTGGGTATTGTAGGGGTTAACAAACTTAATACTGTTTCAAAATGGTGAACATTCAAAATAACTTAACCTTAGAGGCTTTCAAATGGTCAGACTAAACTAGCGGAAATAAGAAATTATCTGAACATTTACTTTTATAAATGTGACTTAATTGGTTTATTGTTTACATGGGCTTACACTACACAAACTATTTATGTAAGGACCACATATTAAAGTAAAAAATGTCAGCTAACTGCTTATGCAAAACTCCAATATCACCAAATTAAATGTCCGCATGATTATGGGACATCTGAAGTATGGGAAGGTATCCAGTTCTATCTAGCATAAGATCATTTTAGAGAACTGATTAAAGATAGATTACATCCAGCTTAATTTTTATCTAAACCGTTCATTACTTCTTGGTATTAGGGAGCTGTTGTGTTGCTTACACATTTATATTTGTGCCTTTAGTTTGAAGACAGAACATTGAGAGGAGCATTATGCAGCCTCAGGGTCAGATGGTACTCCATTTTAATGTGTACTTCACATAACTGTACAGCAGATGACGCTACACGCACAGGAAAAGAAATTCTTGTTTAAATTTGAGTAAATAGCCACTGAACACTGAGACTCATGGTAACTCAATCAAGGTGCAAGAGACTGTTTTCTCCAGGGAAAAAAAATGTTTTTTTGTTATTTTTTCAGTAAGTGACATGACAGAATAACAAAACGTGGCACATATCCAATTTGTGCAAACTATATACACTAATAAGAGGCTTCTGTTTTTAGGTTGATCCTGGTGTGCTTGAACTTTAGTCATTGATGATAAATATGGGTGCCCTAGTTGCATATGATTTACTGCAAGCTTCTCATCTGACAGCACTTGATGAAAAATGATCAAGAGATTTTCCTGCTGTGTACATCTGTGCATGTGTACAGGAGCCTATAATACAGATTGTACTTAATAGCCGAGGTAGCCTTTTGTTTGATAACATCAAACTAAGCAATATTCATTATTTAACAAACCTACAGCTCTCTTTAGAT